AGATGGCCAGGCTGGGAGGAAAGGCGCGGAGAAGGAGCCTCTCGCCGAGCATCGTGCGGAGGGAACTTTGCTTTTCCCACCAGGAAAAGGACAGGCTGCATCAGCCGTGCCTCAGCCACCAAACCCTGCCTGGCCACCGTTTGCAGGCGCAGAGCAATTAGCCATGCCACTTTTAATAGCTTCTCACTGCATGCGAACAAAAGCCCTTTTCCAGAAGGAAACAGCCCCGGATCCGCAGCCAGGGCAGGGAGAGATGCCCGAGGAGGGAGGGACGTCCTCTCCCGCCGCAGCCCTGGCTCACAGCGCAGGGAAGCTGGCCTGGTTGGCCACCCCGCACTGGTTGTTGGCACCCTTCAGCAGACGGATGTAGCCCTGCTCACCCCACGCCTCCGACCAGCTGCAGGAAGAGACGGAGAATGAGCATATCCACATTCCCACACACACGGAGACCTGGCCCTGCTCGGGACAGGGATGCTCCTGCCATGCAGCTCTGATCCCGGCAGGAGTGGAAGGGGTGGCAGGTTTGGGGGGACACCCTCAGCCCCTACCTGTTCTTTAAGATCCAGTAGCTCACGTTGCGCCCGTTCTCCTGGCTCGTGCCGTAGCCCACGGCCAGCATCCCATGGTTCACCCGCTGGCTGCAAAACATGCTGCTGAAGATGCCTGGGAAGAGCAGAACCGGAGTGAGCCGGGGGCAGCCCCGATCGCGTCTTCTCCGGGTGAAAGCAGGGTGGGGATCCTATTCCCCTGGGCTGGGTGCCCTGGGAAAACTCTGGGAGTCAGCAGCCCACCCTGCCATGAGGCAGCCCTGCCTCAGTTTACCCATCCACGCCACGAAGAGCGAGACAGTACCCGACTGGTAGAAGTGGAAGTGGAAGCTGCTGGCATCTACCGCCACGGACACGGGGCCCACAGCTGCCCCTGCCTGCTCCAGCGCCGCCTCGCTGCCCTGGGCCACCAGCCAGATGGTGGAGCAGTTGGCCGCCCTGTCCTGGGGGTTGTATCGGCAGCTGGAGGTGTCCTGAGAGGAGAGAGTGAGCAACGCTGGGGCTGGGACCCGCCGGCACCGCTCTGTCGTGTCCCCAGGGCCGCCTGCCGTCCCTTACCGTGGCCACGTAGGGGTAGACATGCTCCGAGTTCAAGCCTCCGTTGTCGCGCACGTACTGGAAGGCGCGGGTCATGTAGCCGCCGAGGCAGCCATTGTTGCCCAGCTTTCGGGAGCAGTCGATGAGGTTCTGCTCGCTCAGCACCGCCAGCTTCCCCGTCCGGTTGAAGACGAGCCCCTCCAAGGCCCCCGTGGCGCTGAACGCCCAGCACGACCCACAGTGCCCCTGGGCGAGATGGGGACAGCGTGGGGGTCACGGCATCACCCCAAAACCCACCGGAGAGGGACGCTGTGCCCCCCTCAGCGCTGCTCTCCAGCTCCTCAGCTGCAAAACTGCAGCGGCCAAAACTGGGAGCTGCTTCTTGGGGTTGCCCAGAGGTTTTGGTGCTCGGGAGGACGCTGCTGCTTGTTTCTGCTGCCCAGACTCCCGGCACCCATTGCGCAGCCGCGGCCGGACCCCCGCCCGTGCCCACCTGGTTCTTCACGGGCGTCACGTAGACCCTCGC